ACCGCCACATGCAGGCCAGTCCTCCCTTTTTTTCTGATGCTATTTTTCTGAGGGGTTTTTTTTTCTCCTGTTAAATTACTACAATCATTTTTAAATCTTGCTTTGGAGTTTTTTTTTCACCCCTCGTTTTTTTTTCATTTTTTTTTCATTTTCATTTTGCTTAACGGACTTCTAATCTCAAAAACTATGCATTGCACTTTGTGCAGATTTTGCCTACATCGTCTAAAATTTGCATGTAAATTTATTTTTACTTGCTTTGATGGGACCCCGACGGGTCTTTAATAAAATAATTGAATTGAATTGAATTGAATTGATCTCCGCACCAGTATCCACGAGAAAATTACGACAGGAAGTCCTGTCATAAATGTGGAGTAAGCGACTGGGAGAGGATGTGCCGACCACGTTCGTCGCCCTTACTGGTCGGCAGGGGAGTTTTCCAACGCGGGTGTTTTATATTTGCACGGAGAGTGGCAGCGATGGGCGTTAGGACCATAATTGTGATGATACCAACAGAAACCATCAACTGTAGGTTTGTTTGGAGTGGGAGATCTCGGGCGGCGAGAAATTGCAGGACTACGAGGGTTATAGACGCGAGTGGCCCGGAGCTGGGAAACTTCGAGAGTGAGGGCATCCAGGCGTTTGACGACATCCTCGATTGTGGGGGCAGTTGCGCTTCGACTGGCGACGTTAACCGTAACAGGAGGCTGGTAGTACTCGAGTATACGGTCAGCAGTCTCCGCGAGCATCTGAACAGTCGACGAAGGAATGTTAGGCGCAAGGATGGCTTGCACAGAAGGAGGCAACCGTTGGAGGAAAAGTTGCTTGAACATGGTGGCATCCAGCTTTTGTCCGTCTGCCAACTGCTCCAAACGCCTAAGAAGCTGCGTAGGCTTCCTGTCACCGAGGTCCTCCTCAGAAATTAAACGCTGGAGACGTTTTTGCGTTGAGAGGGAAATGCGGGAAATGAGGGCCTCCTTTAGGGCAGTATAAGGGGCTTCTGTGGGCGGGCAATCTATGATGTCGCGGAGGTCGGTGGCGATGTCCATTGGGAGTGCTGCCACAACATAGTGACATTTGGTATCCTCTCGTGTGATCTGACGGAGGGCGAATCGTGACTCTACAGTGCGCAGCCATAACGCGATGTCACCGAGCCACACGGATGGCAGGTCAAAAGTGTGAATGCCGGCTATCGGCTGGCTGGTAGAATCGCTGGACATAATTAGCCGGGGTCGGTCAGAGGTCAGATAAATGGGGTAGAGGACTGGCGCGTTGACAGAGAGATTGAAGGGTAGCGCTCGTATTGGATGAAAGGGTGAGACAGTGTGAATAGCAAATAAGGGCTAGATGAATAATTTGATCGATAAAAATTAGAGTGGGGATTAATCCGAATGGAAATAGTTATGCACAGAGATTAAACAGAAGGAGCTATGAACGATATAGGGTCACCAGTATAAGAGATTAATCCACTAGTTGGGCACAGCGAGTAGGCTATCCAGGAAACGAAAATAGCGGTATCCCAACAGTTACAAACTAATAAATAAGAACAAAGTCGTCAGCAGGTAAAAGTGCACGTGCGTGTTCTTTGTCTTATTCAAAGTTGTGTCAAAGCGTATTGTAACTGATTAAAACAAAACATATTTAAATGTCACTACAAGGTCTATTAAACGGTGGGAAAATCGGCATATTCAGCCTAACTGCCTTGATATGAGGGCTGGGGGGCAGTTGCGAACCCGCTACGTTTTGAGTCGGGGTATTTGAGGCACTGTTAGCCGATTGTGGAGGAAAAGATTTTATACTGGTGCTGGATTTATTGGGTGTCCGAGTGGCTGAGACAACAATTGGATTTGCCTTTGACTTAGACACATGCTTAGGCTTACTATGGGTTGCTGAGGGAGTCGATAGAGGCGTGTTTATACCAGGCGTGGTGGTGTGTTTAAAGAGGTCAGCATTAAAAGTAGTCGAACTCCCTACGGAATTGACTATGCCGTGACTTGTAGATGCCGCAGGTGGTGTTGTAGAGGACAGACTGACAGTAGGTGTCATTATCTTGGTGTTGGTTTTTGCCGATTTCAGTTTATTCAGTCTTCGCTGCAGGGGTGTGAGGTCCGGCGAAACGGAGCAGCGCCATTTACGGCAGAAGTCTCTAGTTATCGCCCTACTCGACAAGATAAAATCGACTTCTATCATGGAGAAAAGGGTAACTAGTCTCGGCGCATTATGACTAAGCGAGCGAAGTCGCTTAGCTTGTGCGACACTAAAACTCAAGCCACAACTTTGTAGGAACAAATGCGCTCCCTCCATAGCAGATAAGTGGCTCGGAATGTTTCGCAGTACGAAATTATGCTTGCGTTTAATTCGTTCCTCAGTTTCCGAACTTATTACCCCAATAAGTTTAAAAGCTTGTTCAAGCACTTTTTCAGAAGTGCTGTTTATGTCTCCATAAATCAGCTGATCGATTATTTCGCCGGCTGATGGCCTGCTACGACTAGCAGAGGCGTATTTTTGGGCGACTGAAGGGTCGAGAGGTTCTACATGCACTAAAGGGATTTGTGAGTCAATCTGATCTGCAGACGGCGAAGAACATACGCTGGCGTCTGCCATGTCTTCAGTCACGATTTTAGCACCCAGAGACGGTGGGGAGGCCGCAAGCTTTCGCCGTTTAGCACGTGCTCTGCGGGGCATTACAGACAAAAAATGTTTTTCGTTACAGAAGAAGGATCAAAACGTTGCCAACGTACGGTAACGCGCACTGAGTAGCAAGTATTACTGTTTTTTAACTACGAAAACTAGAAAGCGGCAGTAGGGAAAGGATTCACTACAATGGATTTTTTACAAAATACGACTATTTTGCCAGACTGTCAAACAAACTGGAAAAAAATTTTACCTTATATAGAAAGGCGACTTTTAAAACGGACTCAAGTAAAAAACAGGCATTAATTACTTAAGAATAGCCAGATAAATACAGAGCTTCACTTATCTTTGAAATTGAGCTGCGCGCCTTGACCTTTAGTAAAGGCTAACTCGGAAACGCCTTTTCGTCACCCCTGAAGCTCTCTTCTCAGTACGGCAGGATGACCAAGACGACAATCGATGCTGTCTTTACCACTTAAAGAACTCCCATAGATATGGATAATAAGTATTTGGGAAACTATTAAGTGTTTATTTGCTCGCAAATGAAATGCGGGACCCAGATGTGGTGCCCCTGGCCAAACAGGTATTAAAAGTTGCTGGAAAGCATTGAAAAGGAGGTAATCGAAATCGTAAATTGCCTAAAGTCTTTGTTATACAAATGAAAATTTCGTGTGCTTAAACTATCTCCTCTTGAGATAGATCCCGAGATCTCATATAAACCTACCGGATTTTGGGGAATTGTGACTGTGCCTTAAACTTCAAATATTTATTCGTACTGGCCCCAACAGTTAACCTATGTGGGAACTCCCTCAAACTTCACACAATCTTGCCCTACGTGGATGTCTATACGTGCCCGTTTTCGCAGCAAGATGTCGGTGTCTGGAGTGGACTTCCCGTGTAAATTACTGTGGCCGAATTAACAGAGACATTCAAACATAAACTGGATGCATATTTGCTTAAAAATTCCGCTCAGTTAAGTGGGAAAGTTCTGTTACAATAAACCAGCACTTTGCACCTGCTTACCACCAACCCGGATGACCACTATTTCAAGGTTGACATTAATTTCGGCCCCAGAGGCGCTCGAGTTTCATCCTAACGTAATGACCCTAATCTTCTGTTATTTGAACATCTTGCTGACAACATGGCAGCAACATGTTTATTTCAACTTGAATATTATATGCATAGTTTACAATAGGGTCTTAGGAGGCAAAGTCTGTTACCCTTAAACATGCTAAACTATACTGAACTAAAAGGATTGTTGTTCGGCAAGGCTCACTATATATGAAGGAGACGGACATAGTCTTCGTGAACGTACCGTTTACTCAGTGAGAGCGTTCAAAGTGCCGCATTTACTAAATCAAGCCCGAATTATCAGGAATTGACTAAATGCAACTGCACAGAACCTCGGGTTGCTGGCAAGGGAAGGGTGTGCTGTGGCAGTATGGCGCCATTTCTGAGAGAGAATGAAGCATGTACTGTCAGCTGTTTAAATAGGTTTGTAAGACAGGCTCAAGTGCTGTTCTGTCGGTGTGGGTTTAGTTAGCCAAAGGGTGGTTTACCCTGTTTATGACGCGTTTGTGGTGATGGTTGATTCGAGTAGCCGTGACTGTTTCTATGCACGTGTGTCGGCGCAGAATTCGGTGTGTCCGGACGCGCCGGCGGAAAGGGTGAATGAACTTGCGCAGTGCCCTCGAAAATGGACAGGGATATCGTAAGGATGGCTGTTAGCGCCAGCTAAATATGGCTGCTTCAGAATACAGAATCTCAGGATTTTTCCAGATGGTGTTCCCCACTTTCGTTTAAAAAGCCCTGATTAATGTGGCGGTCGTAGTTGCCTTTTTACGGTTTTGCAAGTTCCTTCTTTAACAGCGGCATTTGAATTCAAATGGCTCTCTTATGCAAGGCAGCTTTGCCTTGAAAAAGGCGCCAGGCATCTAAATGATGACTGTTAGCAGCTAATATGCCAGCAGTTCTACGTCCTTATTCAGTATAGTTAAGTATATAGTTAAGTATATTTGAAGATCCTAGTGAGTACATATAGTACTCAACGTCAAATAAATATACTACTAAATTTTTATCGGCAACACGTACGTTCCAAATAACAGTCATTGTTTAAAGTGCGGGACAGCAACACGGACACCCTCAGTTGTGTGGGAAATGTTAAATATGAAGTAACAGTCATCTGTGTTTGCGCTAGGTGTGCGCAAAACGCTGGTTTGACATAGTAAAGCTTTTATGTCCACACAACTGGTATTTTTCGGAAAAATATATTTCCGGCCTCTTTTTCAGGAACTTATTATCTATTTTCTGCCTTTGACCCTACGCTTGGATTCCATATTCCTGTTGCAAACGAATAAATGCTTCGTATACTTTTTAAATAGTTCTTTGTCTATATCTATGAAAGTTCGTTTAACAGCAAAGAGAACACCGTTTGCCCGTTTAGTCATCCCGACACATTGAGATGAGAACTTCGGAGAGGACAAAAAGTTGACTTTAAGTCCAAATGACGATTTCGAGTTCTTGTTGTCCAGGCAGACTTAAAAGGCGCCTTCCTTCAAGAAAGTTTTTGTGTTCATATCCACCCTCTCTTCCTTTATTCGTTTCGAGTCGCAGTACGATACACTTCTCAAGGATAAACTCCAGCAGCCATTATCGTGCTATTCAAATAGGCGGTTTAGTCCTTCTTCCATGGTCCGTTCATCATTATCGCGTTGATTGCCTGTCATATTTTGATGTCACCTGCAAACATGACTCCCTTGAAGTTAAATTCATTCATGAAGTCATCTATATAACTTAAAAACAGTAATGGCGGAGCACAGAACCTGGAGATACTTCATTCACAACTGCCATTGGCATTGATTTCGCATTGCCAATGCACACAGACTGCGATTGGCCGGTCAAAAAGTCCTCTACGCAGTTTAGTAAATTCGCCTATATCCCAGTTTCTCAGACCTTGTGAAGTAACCTGTGGCGTGAACACTATCAAAGGCCTTCTTGAGATAGATTTATACAAAACCGACTCCGATGTTTCCATCTAACGAGTGGGACCACTGTTTCATTAAACATGTGTGGTTTCGTCGAAAGCCAAGAAATTTTTTTATTCGAGCGACTGCATAACAATTTTTGGTAAGATTTGGTTATGTAGCCCCACTTGATTGGCACAGTACTGTTGGGGTTGGAGTTAGGGATCAGGGTTAGGTGTTAGGCTTAGGGGTTAGGGTAACTATTCCTCAACCACCCAAAGTACAACCGTGCACTCCCAATAGCTTTTCTTTTGTATACAACTACTTGACCTCGTCGACTATGCGTTCCCCGGCCCCACCTGTAAAACCCCTATTACCACCGATCCCGTATTATAGGTGGCTGAGTTTTGTTTACTTCATGTAGGGCTACATAATCATATCTGGCCCAGATTTTTGACTACACTTTTCATAACTTTTTTTCAGTTCAGTTTATTGAGGGAAATAGGCGTAAGCCTTTGAGTACCCTATTTGCAACGTAAAAATGTGTGGTGCACAGATAGATGTTCTGGGCTGAAATAGTTCGAACACGCCCATAATGATGGGACAAAATGAGAAGGAGTTACAGGGGGTGAGCTCGACTTCTCATCTCTCTTGGCCACTTCGGAACATAAATATGTCCAGATTCTTCTTAAAACTTTGTATAGATGGTGACATCACAACATCTGCGGGGAGCTCATTCCATGGTTTGACCGCCCGAACCGAGAAGGAGAACTTCCGCACATCCAGCCGTGCCTGCTGAGTGCGCAACAAATACATGCTATTATCACCGGCTGACAATTGTTTGCACTCTTTCTGCGTTCATCCTTGTGAATGAGATATATTCTCTACCTTCCAACCAGAGGGCAGAATACCTTGATTAAAGGACGACTGAAAAATATGCGGAAGCAGGTTCGAGAGCTCGCAAACAAGTTGCTTCAGAAGTTTTGCCGGTATTTGGTCTGGACCCGGAGAGTTATAAACCTTAAGCGCATAAAATTCCTTCCTCCTATCTTGTTCTGGGAAAATGACGCCTCCCGTTATTGCGTCGTCGGCTCCTGTAGGAAATCGAATCTGGTGAAAATTCTCTTCATCGGTGAAAAAGATTCAAGAAACGACCTATATGTTCTGACATATTGTCATTTTCGAAAATGTCCTCATTGTTTCCTCCTTTTAACACGGCACTTTTCACTTTGTTATAGACTTTCTGTTAATGTCACTTAAGAGTACTTTGACTTATCCATAATTCGCGTTTCGCATACCTTCCGGAACCTATGGATATTCGTCATTATCTTACTTCGCTTGCGGTGAAACTTCTCGTAATACAAAAGCTGCTTCGTTGTTATATACCCTCTCCAAAGTTTGTCCTCCTGGTTTATCGCTCTCTTTAAATCCTGCGTCAATCTGATACCGCGATTTCTCTTAATAATAATAATAATAATAATATTTTATGTATGTATGTATGTATGTATATTGAAGGGTTACAGGCAGAGCCCTTGATGACCCTATTTATGTACAGTGCTTTCGCAGATTCATACTCAAAAATAAAATAAAATTGCAGGCATTTAAAATGTGATTGGGTCACAGTTCAATCGTAATCATAAGGTAGTGCATGGGGTCACTGTAAATTGGTGCGGAAGATTGTATATGACAGATTTTACAAAACTGGCTGAGCATAGTCATGCTGTACAAGCCGATTTCTGTCGAAAACTAGACGAGCAAGTTTTCTTTTAAACACACAAACTGTGTCAGCCGTCACCATCTCGCTTGGAAGCGAGTTCCACGGCCTGACAACCCGCTGGCTGAAAGAAAATTTTCGTCGGTCTAAACGTGTTCGCTCATTCCCGACTTTGAATGCATGGCCGCGTAGTTGGTTTGTACGGGCGAACTCAAAGAAGTCCTCTGCCCTTAATGAGCAACCCTGGCCGCGAACAATCCGGAACGTCCAGAGTAGACTGCAGTTTATTTGTCTATAAGAGAGAGGGAATAGGCCAAGCCAATTTAGCCTCTCCTGATAAGACAAATGCTTTAGACCGTCGACCATCTTTGTCG